TGTGGCACATCGCGCACATGAAATGTAAAGAGTAAAGGTGATAGAACAACTCTTTTTATGGGGCCCTGGTTTTTTTTAGGAGGAGGGACATGCATAGATTACAGGTATGTTAAAATTCTAGCTTTTAAGATAGGGCCTGTTTTCGTCGGTGTGTCAGTGTAGTACGCGTCACGGCGCCCTCGAATTCTGCAACAGCAAAGTTTTTAATACCTACGAAGTAATTGAAAAGGTTCAGTCTTAACTGAGTCCTGGTATAGGCTCTTGGTGTCTCCTTCCGTCTTCCAGCTCCAGAAGAACTGAAAGAAGCCCGTAGAGCTTCCGGAAAGAGTCTCAATCGCCGTTGAAGTATGATTTTTTTTTTAAACGGCGATATCCAGTACTTCTAATGTAACGCTCCAGTCTTCTTCATGTACTTTGGAATGGTAATAAGGCGCCCAAATCCGCGCTCATCGGTTTAAGTCTCGAGAATTATTCGTTTGGGTTATGGACAAAATAATACAGCCGAAGAGATTATTATAAAAAGGGTGTCTAGATATGAGGTTTATAGCGGTTTGCAAGGAGAAAGCTGCAGTTACCGGCATGGGCCCTTGACTAGCCCTGTAGAGGAATATCTCAACTCTCTTTATGCTTTGCTGGGCTCTCAAAGATCGCACACTGTGTTCAATAATATAGCTTACCAGAATAGCTGTGCCTCCACCTCCTATAACGCGATCCTAACGGTATGTCAAGAAGTTGCAGAACTTGAATGAGACGCTTGGAAGGACATGTCTCATAATAATGCCCAGATCGAGTTTTATACAATGCATCAACCACTACAGCTCATGTTTCCTTCTTAGAACGCCATCTGCGTTCTAGATTTTCGTCTTTGTCTTAAAAACATTATAAACGGATTACAGAAGCTCAGCTGTTTCAAGCATCGTTTTCAGATTTGTGGCCAATATAGCGATACAGTCTAGTTGGTTCAGTACAAAATTTTGCTGACAACACTACACCTAATATATCATATCTCACTTCTAAGCTCACTTCTTTCATTGCAACCGTAATGAACAAATGAAGTGCATTTTACACTCATTAGTGTATCTTAATAATACTGATGAACTTGCTTATTATAAAGATTATCATGAAAATAAGGTACTGGTAATGCTACTGTGACGCTTCATGGGCTTAGTAGTCTTCTAATGTAAAGAATACAATAAGTCATTTTCGTGTAGCTAAAAGTATTATCGTTAGGAAAGCATTTCTAGCACATTTGAGGTCATAAATTTATGAACAGAATTAAAGGACATCACCGAGATCTATTTCTTAGCCATTATCGTTACAATGTGTTTTTGTAAGAAACGTGAAAATAAAGGACTTTTAGAAGTACGTGACAAGTATAAAGATGGGAACTTTTACAATTTTAACAAATGAATATAAATTTATCTAAGTAAATAAAGAAAGTGCGTGACGTTGCTCCTTTTTTCTTCCCCTTTTTCTTTATTTTCTTTTTCATTTATGCTAAAGAAGATTTTCTAAAAAGCTTGTGGAGACAATGCAGTAAGAAAGTCACATTAAATATAAATGTTACTTTAAGCAAAGAGAGTTATAGGCGTCGTGAAAAAATGGCATAGTAGATCAATTGTTACGGTATTATTTAAGTGTACAAAAAATTTTTGGAAATAAACTAACATAGTTCGTTTTCATTACACCTTGCAAACAAAGACGATAAAAAGTCGTAGAGACCTCAACGATTGACTTTCCGTTTGCCTTATTTTTTTTAGTAAAAGATTTATACGAGATATTAAACCAGCCAAGGGATTAGTAGACGATCGAAAACCAAGAAAGAAAAGGGAGGCGTTGGGAATCGAGCTCACGATCTTTACTTTCTTAACCGCTACTTAACTTATTGTTACCCTAAATGCTACAGTAAGCTTATTTCCGTTTATTATATACATACAATACAATTATGCTACTAAAAAAAGAATCGCGGTTTTGCTTAATACCTCACTTCCGTCTCCCGGTTTAGTGTTTCAGAGCTACTAGTATTTAAGGATGTGAAGGCCTATTGGTTGAAGTATTAATTTCTTTGTTTTATAGGGTTAAAAAAGAAAGTATATTGACATACAGTTTTAGTGAAGTACTAAATAAAATTGTTTTATTGGTATTGTGAGCGTTATAAGGGTCGGTGTATTTGAAAAGTTAAAAAATCCTAGGGATGATTATAGAAAAAAAAAATATTAAAAAAAAAATTATTTAAAGACGCGTATAAGCGAAATGGGGTGTTGATAGTCAACATTACACTGTAAACTAAACTATGTAAAGAAAAAATCTTGATAATAATTTTTACGCAAGTTGCCATTTTAAGGTTGATTGGTTGTTTTTTGTGTTATTTTAAAAAAGAGGCGTTCACTCACGAAATATGGTTAGGCCAGGTCTAGCTGGCAAAAGGGCTGGTTAGTGTCTCTAAGAGGCCTTGCGTCTAGTTATTTGAGGCTACTACTGGTGGTTGTAGGAGTTTTTCACTACTCTATAGGCTAAATGTCGGAGGCCCGAACCCGAGAAGTCTCTGAGTAACGCTGGTAGACACTCCGTAATGATTATGCGTTAAACGTCCCTGCAGGCTGGGCCTTTAAGCCAACGATAAAAATGGATAAAATTGTTGCGTTCATCTTTTTGTCAGCGCTTAGTATTTGTCACGTCTGCCACATAAATTGCAAAAGGCTAAAAGGTTTAAAAACCATCAATTAAAAAGGTATACAAGTTTCCAACTGGCATATAAAAGCTGCGTATGTCATGAAGAAATAAGCCTATTAAAAAAAAACAAAAAAATTGCCTGCTTTTAACAAACAATGAACTGTTTTAACTCGGTTGGGGGGCTTTCTTGCTTTTCTAACTATGCTTTTCTAAGTTTTTAATTTTTTAAAACTGCTTGTAGACGTATATCAAATTTTGTTATGGTTATTGTGTTTTTGGTCTATTTATATAATGTATTTTTATTACTTATTATTGTGCATCAGCTTGCGAACTAAGGAGAATACAGGTTTTTGACTGTGTTATTGACATATCGCAGTTTCCTTTTCATAAAACTTAAGAGGAGAGCACTTTCGGGCACCTCTTACATTACCATAAATATGAACAAGATGCACATAGATGCCTTGGTGCGTAAATAAAAGACGAATTCGTTATTTTTTTAAAAAAAAGATCAAAAAGAGCTTTATAATTGCTTAATGAATAATTATAAAAGCTAAACCGGAAATTGGAATTTTAAAAACTTCATATACTCTGGTTCCGCAGTTTTCCCCTTAAGAGCTTTTTATGCAACAAATCTTCCTTATATTTAGTTGTAAGTTTAGATTTAAATGAACATGACCTTTTAAGACAATAACAACTCTTATTTAACTTCAGTGCTGTATGTGATTTAAAATTTTTTTTTAAAACCACTTATTACATTTGAGTTGTATTATAGCATCACTCAACTATACGTTCTAAGTTAGCTTTAATAAAACTATTAAAAGTTGATAAAGAAGTTAAATTATGTAACTAAGCCCCTAAATATTTCATATTAACGGAGATTGCGGTAAGGTTATCTGAAAGCTATTACAGCAAAGGCATTCATATATGTCATCGTGTAGCTTTACAATAAATTACCACCTTGCACTTTAAAACATTTATTTTTTTTAAAGTTTTGTGCTTCGCATTGTTGTTATTGTTAATCTGGTATTAATTTCTAAAGGATTTACTAATTCGAAATTATACGTACATGGATTTGTTTTTTATAATGCAGTCACTGGGAGACTTTAATTAAACAGTTGTGATCTCTTGAGTCGCAGTTTTGTCTAACTTGGCAAAACTTAAGCACAAATATTTCAACGGGGGATATCTCAGGTATTGAACTCTAAATTAATCCCTCTATCTTGTGGCCACCGCTTAGTTCTAGGCTGAGCAGATTCCTTTATAAGTTTAGTATAATAGTAACCGTTGCCTACATTTATGGTAGGTTGCAACTTCGCACTGACTGTGGAACGGATATTGGGTTACAAAACTGGGGCGCTTGACATCTAAAAGAGGTTTAACTTTTCTTTTACAACAGGCGGAGTTGTAGACTGGAGGATTTATTGAATAAAAAACTCTATTAACTCAAGACAAACAGTCCTAGTAGCTCGAGTACATGAAATAATATGACAAAATGCTGATGTACTCCCACAAAAGTTCTTACCAAGCGAGAATATGGCAATGCCATTCATGTATGAAGCTTCTTAGATTGTCTTGTTCTAAAAGCTCGCTTAAGTAGTGGTTTTAAGATGAATGGCAAGGTTTTCTTTTGTTTTAGTTGGTAAATAGGAAATTTATAGAGTATTTATAGAAAAACTATAGGGAAAAAAGCATAGCGTTAATCTTTTTACCGCATTGAGGCCTCAAGAATTTTTGATAAACATTGGTCAGTGCCATAACACCTACTAAATGATTTCTGCTCTTTTACGGGTGTCGGCCATTCATAAATGTTGAATAAAATTTATTATTTACTTCTTAGTTAATATACTAACAAGTAAGGGATAGTAAGGATAACCAAAAGACTGTATAGAAGGCCAGATTCTCTAAATTTTTTGTAAAATAAGTGACTTCTCACCTTAGAGTTACATTGTTGATTTTCTCTTTAATGTAAATGAAGCTGTATTAACAATGTTCACTGATTATTAAAAATAATGGTATTATAAATATAAAGCAGTAGTTATTAATAAAAGCTATTTTACGATCATATAATTTTTTTAAAACAGCTTTAAAAAGCAATCGCTATCCCTAAAGCTAAAAAAAATAATTACTTTTTTAAGGTGTTAACTGTAGTAAACTTTGAGTTGGTGGAGTATCAATTAAAATCGTTTGGTTTGCTTAATTTGGAAAGAGTAAACGGAACTTAAGAAGCTTACTGTAGAGGTTTTGCTTGCAAGAACCTTGAGTGCGAGTGAAAAGCGCCGTAGGATTAAAGAAGCGTTTATCACTTAGTATAAAGAAACGTTCTTTTACAAAATAACTCTTAACTGAGAGAGAATTTTGAGAATTATTATTGATAGGCTTATCATGTCTGCGGTAAAGGATATAATAATAAAACATATTTTTTTTAACGACTTTATACAGCAGGGAATAGATCTTTCCCATTTTGACTTAGAAGGGATTGATGTTTCCTCCTTGAATCTTGATAGTAATTTATAACTTTTAGTTTTAAATTTAATTTTATGTAAAAAAAACTTATTTTTATAAAGTTGAAATATATATATTGGTGTTATTTCGTTCACTTTTTATATTGGTTTTATTGCAAGTTTTTTTACATATCAGAACTAGAAGATAAATTTAGGGAGCCTTTCCAAAGTAACTCATATGATGTAAAAATTCATACCACATAAAAAAAATTTTTTTTTAAGAAATTTTTCCAGAGTGATAATATTAAGTATGGCTTTGCTGATATGACCGGAATTTCTCGGTTGAACGAGAAATCTGTTTTGCATAATCTTATGATCCGCTTTCAAAACGACAGGATTTTCGTAATTTATGCTACCCTAAAATTTTTGCATATTTTTTTTTGTTAAAAATACTCTTCTGGCTTACTAAGAACCATTTAAAAAGCACAAGCAGTTGATGTTAGACAGTTTAAGCATTACATGCTTACACCATAATATGCTTAATAAAAGTAGTTGGGTCTTATTTTCAATTTATTTATTACTAATCTTCTTTATTAATCTTAACAGACTTACATTGGAAGCGTACTGGTTAGCGTAAACCCTTTTAAGCGTCTTTTAGGTTTAAGACGCAACACAGAATCTTAGTTCTTTACATACTCAACTATAAAATATCAGGTTTATACGACGAGCCGAAGTCGTTTAGAGGAAAAACACTCCAAGAGAAGGTGATGTCCCCTTTGGACAAGCAGCTATTCAACTAATTTTTTATTAACAGCCTCCTCACATTTTTGCTCTCGCTGAAAAGGCATATGCCTCCATGATGGGCGCACAGCAGAACCAGACTTTTTTAATAAGGCAAGCTATTACCGCTGAACATGCTCATCGCGTATGTCTGGTAACATGCCTACAGCGGTGAATCCGGCGCAGGAAAAACGGAGGCCATGAAAAAGATTTTGGAATATTATGCGGCTATCTGCCCGTCGCCCATCGAAATGACAGCGCCTCAACTCGTAGGATTTTTTAAATAATGTTCATGTTGCGCTTTTTTCTCTTAGCAATTCTAATAACTTTTATTTGAATTGCACTAAACTTGTCTTCGGCCGGCCCTTTATTAATTGGTATATCAGGTGAACTCAGCGGAAGAGCCGGTCTATAAAAAGGTTTTGCATGCTAATCCGATCTTGGAAAGTTTCGGTAACGCCAAAACTGTGCACAACAAGAATTCTTCCCGCTTTGTAAAAAAACATTTAACTTTACTGTGCCCGCCAGTTAACCCACTGCGTTCCTCTTGAAGGGAAAGTTCACGGAGCTCCAGTTTGATTCGCTGGGCGCATTCTTCGGAGCAAAATTTTGCGATTATCTACTCGAAAAAGTTGGTCTTTTATAATTAACTTTTTGTTTCTCCTTTTAAAGTTTACTGTCGATATTTGCAGACTAGAATTATACACCACTCCTTCGGTGAGAGAAATTATCACATATTCTATCGACTGCTGCATGGCGCGGCGCCTCCCGAAAAAGGTCGTTCGTCCACTTCTCTTTCCTTCAGTAAATATAGCTTGCATTTTATTGGAAGCGGCTCTAAGGCTGACGGGCATGACGGCCAATGACTTCTTTTACACAAGCATGGGCTGTTGTGTGACTGATCCTGGGCTGGACGATGTGGCAGACTACATCGAGCTAAAGGTTTAGAGAGTTCCATGCCTGTCGGGAAGTTACCGTCTTCTACGATCGGCAGACCTCTCTCGAACTTTTTTTGTCGCCGGTCTTCATTGAAAGCTTGTGGAAAATAGTGGCCTCCATATTACATTTGGGGTAAGCCAGGGTCGCCATCTCTCTCTTGCCTCCCCTTACACTGCTTTTCCCCGTTTCCAGGAACATAAAATTCGAGAGTGGGGCGAACGAATCTGTCATTCGCTTGCTGGATGAAAAACGTTGCCGCCAATTTGCTTACAATCGAGTTCATTGTTACTTTTTTGCTTTCTCAGCGCTTGTTTATGCTGCTGAACTGCTGGAGTTAGATCCCTCACTTTTGGAGCAGCTGTTTTTAACTCGTGTTACTGTCGTCGGTAAGGAAGTGTACACCAACCCTCGTAGAATAAAGGAGGTGAGATAGAGAGAGCACCCATTCTCTGGCTTAAAGAAGTTCATATATGTAATCTTGAAGGCTATTGACACTCGCAACACATTCTGCAAGTCCGTGTACGCACGCTTGTTTAAATGGGTAGTAGCGAGGTACTTTTTCTTTGCATGTGTTCCATTCTGAAGAGTTTTATAAAACTTGATAAAAATATTAAGCACACAAATTCTCGTGCATTCTGGTAATTGGGTTTTATGATGGGAGCTAATAGCTGACTTGACTGAACCAGATTAGTGTGTGCTACTTCTGTTTACAGCCGCTTTGTAAATTTAATTATAATCGCATTACCATAAAATTATTTATTGGAAGATTAAACGACAACATGTGCGTGGAGACGCCCTCTTATTTTATCGGGATTCTCGATATTTTTGGCTTTGAAATTTTCAAGGTGATACATGCGCTTTGCCTGGGTTCGGCGACTTTGCTTATGAGCGGTGTTCTCTTCAGTACAATTGCTTAGAGCAGTTCTGCATCAATTACGCCAACGAAGCATTGCAAAACTTGTTTAACGAATATATATTCAAAATTGAGCAGGAACAGTATAAAGTGGGCCTATACTTACTTAATCACTAGGCATTTGTAATTAGTCTTCCATAAAGGAAGAAGAACTTAAGGTGAAACCCATACAGTATGTTGACAATGTCGCCTGCTTGGAACTTATAGCCGGGCAAAGGATCGGTTAGTCCCTTATCCATTCTTGAGCTGCAGGAGGAATACAAATTTTGTTTTAGGGATCTTTGACCTTCTTGATGACCAGACTAAAATTGCAACCGGCTCGATAGATCAGTATGTATTCCTTGGGTATTATCTTATAGTTGAGTGTTAAGCGTTTAATGTATTTGTAGTTTCATGCACGGAGTTGAGCAAAATCACAAAAAACATCCCAACTTTGCTAAGGACAAGAAAAGACGTCACGCATTTGTAATCAAGCACTACGCGGGAAAGGTCGGTATACTGCATGCCACCCTTGAATTTAGCTTAGGCTCCTCCAGGTCACTTACGACGTTGTTAACTGGATTGATAAGAATATTGAGAGTACACCTACCGAGGTCTTTTTTTTAATGTAGTTTAACTGAGTGATTATTACCCCCGAGTCCCGCTGCAGGTTCGGACGTTGATCAATACCTCTAATAACCTTCTTCTGCAAGCCATCTTCGTAGAAGCACTCGCTGGTGGTATCGCGCCGCAACGAAGACCTTCGATGTTTGGTTGGCTTTTCTTATCTTACAATGCGTTTCTGCAATACTAAGATACCTTATTTGAAAGGTGCGCCTGAGAGCGGTCGTCCCACCCGCGCACCTGTCACAATCTCTGCTCAATTTAAGGTAGTCTGAATGGGCGATAATGATTTATAGGTAGTAATGCAGGAATTTCCCCACAGAAATCATTAACTGCATTGCTAGATATGCTTAGAAGTACAAATCCCTTCTTTATTCGCTGTTTAAAACCAAATCCAGAGCAGAGTTAAGTCACCTTCCACTCTAAGCGAGTCCATAACTTCCGTAGTTTAAATTTTCTAGTTCCTAATACATTTGTTGATTCATACTTGCTTCAACAAATGAGAAGTGTCGGCATGCTGGACACCATTCAAATAAGAAAAACGGGATACCCCGTCCGTTACACCTTTACTGAATTTCTGAAAAGGTTTGCCTGCCTCCTTTGGAGCGACGAGTTTACAAAACATATACTCGCAGGTACATCATAGTTCTCCCCGAAGACAAGCGGAACGAACTGGCTTCCTCTAACTGGGCCCCCCACAAGAAATGCGATTATATAATGAAAGAGCTTCAGATGGGGGAGGGGGAGGTTCCCAGTTACATGCTTTCGTCTCTTCACTTTTTAATTATTTAAAGTATGCAATTGGGAAAAGCAAACTTTTTATCCGAGACATGCCGGCGGACAGGTTAGAAAACCGCTTTTCCGCCATTCAAGGTATATCCACTGGATGCCAAGAACTTCCTATAGTTTACGATTTCATCATCATCAATAGCTTTCAGGTTGCGTAAAATTAAAGCCGCCATACGCCAGCAGCAGAGAGGGATATGCGAGGATGCCCGGCTTGCAGCTATTGAGCATAAGAAGGAGGACGAAAAACTCGGTGCGAATGCAGTGGCCCCGCGCTCACACCTGCTCCTTCTGAGCTATTTGCTTCTCAGGGCTCACAGACGAGACGATCGTCGACCCCCTCCAGACCCCGACCGCCTTGGGCATCGGTGCATTGCTGTTCCGTATACCCTTTAGTAAATTAACGATGCTTCCTTCTGCTTGACGTTTCAGAGGAAGTTACAATAGCACCAGTGGCCTCGGCGGACGCACAGATGGATGCCTCACAGGGTGATCTTATGATTAGCTGCTTTGCCTTCTTTGTGCTGAGAGCAGCTTCACAGTTAAAAAATTGAGATTAAAAGAACGAATGCGGACAATGCGGAGAAAAGTGGACGCCGACGTCGAAAACCAGACAGCTCAAGGTCGTAGGAGAACACATTTCGTTCTTCGCATTCGAGAATCACTTTGCATGTAGAATCTCGTAGATTTACAATGGCCAGCGTGCAGCCAATCAAAAAACTTTTGGCAGGCCAGCAGGTGTCAGCTTGAATATAAAAACTACTATCTAAAACAACTAAATTGCCCACCACAAGGTACAGCTCGTCTATGATAGGACGAACCCAGACGTATGACGTTTTTCCAACCAACTGCTGCTCCCCTCCCTTTAACATTTTTTACGCTTAAGGCAAGTGCGCCTGTTGATATTGCCAGACTTTTTATTACGGACGAAGGAGAAACAAAAAAGGTAGCTGTTACCCATATAAACCCTGAGCTCGTGTATTCACGCCCATCGCTCTTAAAAGGTTTCTTTCTCAGGAGTGCGTTGCGAGACCGAACTGCAGAAACTTTTCAAGACAATATTTCCAACCCACCAGTTTCCCATGCCCTTCCCCAAAGTTTATTTGCGAGGTTGCCTTTGCTTTTCCTTAAAAATTATCGCCGGTTGCCCCAAAACTCCTCGCAGACCCGACTTCGGGTGTCAGTTATGAAGTGACAGACTACGGCGAAATAAGCGAGGGATGTGAAGTTCGCCTCAACCGTCCGGTTACCAACGTGGCACTCAAATTGGAAGAGCTCAATCAAAAACTGGAGCGGGGTTTCGACGTCGTTAAAGACCATATGAGACTTTGTTAGTTTGCATAGTATTGGTCGTATGGCTTAATCACCATTGCCTGAACACGCTTTGTATAGTATCGACGGGCGAACAGGGTGCGGTGGTTGCGCGGAGCCAGCAAACGCTTTTCTCACCAAGTGGCAGTCCCAAAGTTTGACCGCTCATTTCCTTTCTAGTTCCGTGCCTCATCGTCACGTGGTATTTGTAGGGCCGACCAGGTTTATCGCTAGCCGAGCTCAAGGAACAGAAGTACCAGCTGCAGCAGTTGCGTAGGGATGTGGCTATCTGCAAGCAAATAACAAGGGACGAGCACGAGAGTTACAAGAAAGAACTGGACGAGGAAATAAAGAAAGTAGTACTTTAGTAAAAAGGCTTCCTGCTAGCCTTCTTGAAAACTTTTTTCTGAGCAGGTGTTACAAAATATGGCTCTTTCCATGACTCCGCTGCAGGTGAAACGCTTCCAGCTACAAAAAGTAGTCACTGCTATTATAATACTCTCTAATAATAATAAAAAAACCTTTCTTGTAAGAGCAAAGTCGACATTCTCCGGGTAGGAAAGGAGGTGGAAAGCGAGGTCAAGGACTTTGAGCTTCTCGTCAAAGACATCCACTTGGACATGACCAAAAGAAAGGTCTCTTCAGACGCCGCCTTTTATGAATAGCCGCGTTCAAGCTCAATGCAGGTCAGACCTTCAGAGGCCGTGCACGACGCAATCAGTACGCGTTTCTGCGCCTTCGAAGCAAAGTTCAACGCCGCCAACAAAAAATACGATCAGACAATTGACCGTTTTAAGAAACTGTGGGCCCAGGAGGAGGTTTGCTGACCACCTTTAATCGTGTTCTGATGACAACGAGTGCTTGCTGTAACAGGCAGACATAAAGGCGGAGAAGGATGTGCTCTCGGTAGACACCAACAACCTCCTTTGCGATGTTGAGGAAATATATGATAGGATCGTCGATATGGTACAACAGCCGCACCAAAACATCGACGCCTTTCAGTAGTCACGTGTGTATTGCCGACAGATCGAGGAGATTCAATTCTGCCGCGCTAAGAAAGAGTTTGACGTGCCAATTATAATGGCGGCGAGTGACGTGGATGAGGCGGTAGAGGGCCTGATGGACGAGATCTCGTTTACACGTGTCAACAATGAGGCAAGGGTGCGAGCAGTTGAGGAAATGGAGCAGAAGATGAAGAAGAGGAAGGAGTTTGAGAGAGAAGCAGATCCGGTCGTGCGCTTCGCTAAAGACCTGAACATGGTACCGTCGCTTACGAAGTGCATTGTAGTCATTATTTTAATTAGTTCAAGGGAAAAGTGAATCTAAAGAAGACGGGAGGCTTCGAAGAGCTGGAGAGGGCGCGAAAGCGGAAGGAGAAGGAACTAGGACTGCTGGTGCGGTTTTGTGTAAAACTGTGCCTTGAGTAGTGCATAACGGCTTCTTTCCACAGGGACAAGTACAATAGTCAAAAGTTTTGAAATAACTTTGAAGTACAGGGGGGAAAAAACCTTTCATTATGCTTTATTTATTAAAATGAAGGGAGTCACTCCCTATTCTTTTAAGGATGTGCTTTGTTCTGCCGGCGCCAAAGATCGGCATATTCGCCGTCTAGTTAAGTATTAGACCGCGAGATAGCCAGTAGTAGAAAAGAAAAATAGGTAAACCGAGAAAAAGCAGTTCTTCGTGGTTGCCTTTTTCGGTTACTCTTCCATTCCTCCATTGTGAACGGAAAGCTTTTAAGTACAAGGCCCTTTAATTGGGGTAAAGGGGAAAGAGAGAGACCTCATAAAGAAAATAATGTCGCAGTCGGTAATGGTGGACAGCCGGTGTGCAATGAAAAGAGTAGTGCCTTCCCCAGTAGGAGAGGAACTTGTTAAAAAATGTTAATGACTTAAACGATAAAAAAAAATACGCTTCTGTGCAGCGCTTTTCAGGCTGCTAAGAATGCGCTGCTCTGTCACACTGTCCAGCGCAGAAGTCGCCTCATCGCAGAGGAGGATCCTGTGGTTCTTTTAGTTTCACTGCATGAAACTGAAGAAGTAAAAAGAAACAGAAGGTACTTTGGATCTTTGAGAAGCGTGCGTGCAATTGCTATCCGTTGCTTTTCCCCGCCAGACAATTTTAAGCCGCGCTCTCCGACAATAGTGCTATAGCCTGTTTAGTAGCGTTAGGAGGCTTCCATAACGCATCTAAAGGGGTGTACCATCTGGTAGGCGGCCCGTCAGGCTACTAATGTCTGCTAAGAAAATAGCCTTCTTTACGTCTCTAGCCGAATTATTAGCGCAAGTGGTTTAAATGAAGCCAAATAAATACTCTTCCGGCTTGTTAGGGGCTCCGTAATGAATGTTGTAGAGAATTGTATCATTAAACAAGACGCAGTCCTTCGCAAAGCAGTAAAAATAATTCAGAGCAGCGCGCTGGAAGGAGGTACCTGTGGAATAACGCCAACTGCTTCTCTTAACCACTGAATGTCGAGCTCGGGGAGGGGCGTCCCATCCAAATATATTCTTCCAGAAGAGGGATCGTAAAAACGATATAAAAGGCGAAGAATTGTCGACTTTCTCCATGACATACGTTGTTTTAGAAAACTATAAAGCTGCACTCGAGATAACACAGTGGTACCCAGAACCGCTGCTTCCGACAAAAGCTACTCTCTTCCCACCTGGAATCTCGAAGCTCAGGTCACGTAAGACCTCGTGGCCTTATAGTAACGAGTTTAACGCGATAAAGATAACACCATATCGAATATTCAGAGATAAGGCCTATCAACTACACCTGGAGAGTATGAAAAACAAACATTTTCGAACACCACGTTTCCCCTCAAAGTTTCTAGAGCCCTCCCACGCTTAGAGATCTGCAATCCGAGAATATTGTATATACTCCTCATAGCAGTCTATACTGCAAAAGCCTACGGAAATTATCGGTCGCATTTCTTTGATCGAAAGTAGTGCGTTCATATCCGTTAAGGACTGGCGCATCTCCCGATAAACACTTCCTAAAACACCAAAAGCGTCACCAATCACCTCTCATTCCTGTTCAAACGTACGAGTAGTAAATACCGAGGAAGTTAAGGGGGAAAGAGAGCTGGAAGAGCAGCCCGTTGACCATGACCAGGTCCCCAATTGTCATAGTCCCTAGGGCGAGCGTGACTCATAAAACCAGCAGGAACCACGTGGGAATACCGCAATAGATGCTATGCGCGCTCAGAAACATCATAACTGATAAGGAAACAGAAAAAATCGCGTTTTGCCCAAAGTTAAGCAGGGCTAATGAAGTGGCTGTTTTCAAGGAGGCTTCTTCGTACATGGCCAACGCCTCAGTAAAAGTAGCGTAGGGAACAAATGAACAAGCAATTGGCAGTGATAGCTACCTGGTCATAGCGCTCTCCCTCGTGTTTTTCATTGTTAAAATACTAAAGAGAACGTTATTACAAAGAGGCTTGTGCTGGTGTGCAGAGGATGGACCTTAACAGTCTCGTAATTTAGTAAAGAGTCTAAAGCACGAGCTCCACTGTTAAAAAACAGTATGTTCGTGTCAAGCGTACGAAGTAGTATCAGTATTAATAACAAACCAGAGATTGTCTGCGCGATTCATTTCACGCCGAAATTTTGTGCTAAGCAGACCAAAATAAGAACCAGTTACGCCGGCGGACTTAACAATCATTCAATAGCAGTACCGCCACTGCGTCACAGCCAAAGTGAAGGCGGTATAAGTTCCTATGCAGGCACAAGTAATCAAAGCGTAGGAAGACCCAAAGTTACGCGTCTGCCGAATGAACGGTTATTATTATCACTATTACGGGGATGTCACAGCATATCACAAGAGCACAGTAAAAGTTCCTTGGAAATTATCGTACACCAGAGCACGTGTCTATAACTAACATGAACGTCACCATTGCAAGTGTACCAGAACTCCTGAGACAAGAGCAATTTCAAAAGCAGTAGGGACAATGTTGAACAACACCGAATTCAATAAAAACTGTATACCTCTACATAAGCGGCACATAATAAATATATGAGGTTAACGTTGGTAATATGAGTAAACAAAGCGATTATAAGAGCAAATAAACATAACTAACCTTTCTAGCTCAATAATACTAAATCTTACTGACTCAAAGTATATAAGAAAAGGCGAGTATACTTCAAAAAAAAGAGAGCACCTGGTCCCTCGCTCGATTGCACGGGAAACGGAACCCGTCTGGCGGGACAGATGCCACTGCAAGTCGAGAGAATGCAAATGCAGAAAAGCATCCTTCGATAGTCTTCGAACGCTGTTTTGAGCCACCTTTAGTATAGCAAGTAATTTTCTGGTGTATAAAATTAAAAAGTAGACCACAACTATTTAGAGTCTTCACGAGTTAATATACATCTGGATGAAATTTTTAAAACTCACAAAACTTTATTACTTCAAAACTGCAACCATCACAAAGGAACTGCCGCATAAATAAAAATACCTAAAAAACTATAACAACCGTATAGAAAGTAAATGTTCAACTATTTAAGTTGTAAACAATATTAATATTTAATACTGACAGAAGAAACAACTGCAACTAGTTCCAATAACAAAGTATGTATTTTTATACTTTAAAAGTTAGAGAAGTATTATAATAAACTACACCTTAGCAAAGAGCGCATTCCGAAGTTCGTTAAAAAAAGAAGCAAGTACACGAGCAATTCCGTCTATCAAATATACCGTTAGGACAAAAAAGAAAAAAAAAACTTTCCATATAGTTTAAACAAACATCCAAGTAACAAAGTGCCAGCTCCGGTAAAAAGAGAAAGGCCAATTTCCAGATTCGGGGTTTCCTCGGGATGGTTTAAAGCATCCACAGCCTCTTTAAAAAAGATGGGTACTTGAATATTGAGAAGCTGTAGAAGAGTAATAAAATAAAGTTCTTGACAAACACTTTAGTAATTAACCTTGGCCAATATTAAGCAACCTAAAGCAAAGATGATTCTGACCTTTAAAAGTGGCTGCCTTTTAGGCCATAGGTAGCCAAGAATAGAGCTATGGATAAATATAAAGGTAACAAGGTTATAGGAATTACATATTAGAACATAACAATTCGAATAATCTAATAAAAACTTGTGAAGATGAAATATTCTTTAAACAAAAAAAAAGGTATTATAAAAAAAGATAACCGTATTACGTCGAGGTCTTTCCGGCTCTTATTTTGGTCAAGACGATCAGAGTGGGTAATATTCTCTTTAATATCTAAATGGGTAACTGGGTAAAAGTGAGGGCGAGTAACTATATCTCTTCGACAAACTTTTATTGATTTTAGTTCAAGTAAACCGAAATTGTCGATCCTATATATAATGATAGGGTGTACTGCGGAGGAAACTTGCAGGCTACTTATAGAAAGGCTTCTACTTTTTAAGTCTATTTTAATAATTTTAAAGCCACGTTTAGTGTTATAAATACTGGGGTTGTTTATAAAAAATATGTAGGTCCTTTTAATACTTTTAAATTGTAGAGGATTATGTCTCTGTAAAAACTTAATATAAGGAGCCAGATATAAAGTCTTATAATTTACGATCATTGCTATTTAAAAAAATCTAACGACATATAAAACGTCTACACGCTCTAAAATGATAGCAAAGAATAAATATCAAACATGAACGACACACAAGTGGGCTACCAAACTTTAGGGCCACCCACAATGAGCGTACCCTCATTGAAGTCAGCCTAGTGTGTAGTGATATGAAAGAATATATCATGTATGTATTCTTTGTAAATTTGTAGTGTTTTTACATAGTTAAGTAATTTTGTTAAAACTTCTTTTAAATTATTGGAAAATATTGCGTCTATATATTATTGACACTGGAAAAAAAAATTAATCCACAAAAAATTTCAAGCGCTTGCTTTAAGGCTTCTGTAAGAATTTTTTTTTATCAGGGTGCGCTTTTATATAGAACACAAAGTTATAAAGCAACGACATGAAAGAATAAATTCACCAAAAAAGAACGAAGAAAAAAAACTCTATATGTATGAAGTTAAATGAAACAAAGCTACTTAGATACAATTTATTTACTTTAAAAAAGATGTAGAAGCCCTCAAAATTTAAAACTATCTTTTACTTAGAAAACCTTTTCTATCTACCACAAATTATTTTAAGGGATCTAGGGCGAATTAAAAGTATACTAGGACAGTTAACTTCCTTTTTTATGCAACTTTGAAATTTGTTGGTATATATTTTTTTTAGCTTTATTCGTTAGGTTAACTTTGGTGAGATTTTCTATTTTGTCATATTACTCTAAAATTTTCAGGTTAGAGCATCGAAACTTCTCTTATAAGTTAAAGGGACAGTAATCATCCAATATTTGTTACGACTTAAAAGCCGTTAGGGTTCCATGAAGTTTACAAAGCACTCCAAAAAATTCGAAGTATAATAAATGTGTAAAATAGACTATTGAGTACAATTTATAATAAAAGAAATAAAATGTGACAAAGTGAAAGAATTAACCAATAAAATTACCAAAGAAAACCAAAAAAAAAAACAGGTTAAAAAACCCGAACCGACAAAAGGGACGCAAGGCGCGCCTTTCTTTAAAGAGTATGACAAGACAGCAAAGCTCCCCACCGGGAGCAAGCCTTTTATCTAAGAGTTGACTTCAGGGTAGGCGGAATTAGGTGCTCAAGATAATGTGTTTAATCGTAACAATAATGCAATAACGTGTTATAATTATTTAAGATCTATTTTAGTAAGTTATAAGACAGAAAATTTAAAGAATCTAACTGATGAATAGCTATTTCTAGAAACCACCGTCAATTTTATTTTTTATTATATAATATAGGGTCTTATAATTCCGAAAAAAAATAATTAAAAATTATATAAATTAACTGAAAAATTAAACTTACTGTTTAATATAGTAAACTCTTTTCTTAATTATTGAAAATTGCTGAGCTATATACTCTATAATAAAGTATTTAGAGGTATTATTACTTTTGCGGCTGCTCGAAACGCAAGGTAGTTTATTAATTTAAAAATAGCGCTTATGTTATGTAATATAATCTCAAATTCCTTATGTACATCTTGTCTCCAAGAATGTGACAAGTCGCCTAAAACTCCCGTGGCTAACTCTAATATGTCTCCTTTAAAAGAAACCGTACCATTTGTAATTAGTACCAACTCTTCAAGTGAGACGTGTCAGAAGTGATGGAATTTAATCTATTAGTTATCGAAATAATGAAATTTTAGTGACTTAACCTTTGTTACTTTTAAAATAACGAAAATAAACAAAATTCGTGCGTAAATTAAGCACTGTTGGGAAGAAATTTCGTTCAAGCTCAGCAATGGCTTGAATAGCGTTTTAAGGAATCTGCTCCATCGAAAACAACGCTTTGGCGGTGGTTTGCTGAGTTAAAAACGAGTCCTATGAACTCAAATGCTGAACGCTCTGGACGTTTAAATGAGGTAGAAAGCATCAAAAAATACAGAAAATTGTAGTTAATTATCGTAAAGTGAAGTTGCGGAATTAGCTAACATTGCAAAGCTATCAAGGAATGTGCAAACTATAATTTACACCAACAGTTAGGCATGAGAAACCTACGTTCGAATGGATAACCACGGTTGCTTTGAGAGAACCAAAAACAAGCCAATTAACAAGGTTTTTATTATGCGTAGTGACAAGGGTTGAAACCTGGGCCCTTCATCACCTCCAGAGTAAACTCGGCAGTCAGTTGAGTGGGAAGAAAAGGGTAAAACCGCTCAAAGCGAATATAGACGCAACAGCCTGCCTGAAAGGTTTATAGCCTCCTTATTTTAGGATGCGCAAAGTATAATATTCATCGAATACCTTAAAAAAGAAAAAACAATGAATAGCGAATACTACATAGCACTTCTGGTTTGATTGAAGAAGGAAATTACAAACGGCCCTAAATGAAGGAAAAAAAAAATAGTGCTCTTTCATTATACACCGTTCACAAGTCGATAGTTATGATGGCAAGAAATGAAGCTCGGTTTGATTCCGCACTCACACCCTTGGGATTGTCCCCCATTGACTATTATCTCTTTGCAGACTCAAAAAATTGCTCCAGGAAAATAGATTTAAGTTAAATGAAGAGGGTTATCGCCGAAAAAGACCTTTCTAGAAATAGTTCCTTAAGAAAGGTGTAGAATTGCCAGAAAAGCGTTGGGCTAATTGTATCGCTATTGAAGGAGGCTATACTGAATTATAAGGTTAATTTTACAAAAAAGGTTTTGTTTAATTAGCTAGCCTCGGGACTTTTCAGGCGACAGGTTAGTAAAGCACATAAGTTATTACGACTGCGAAGGTAACACGCGCCTTTTAAAGTTTTAAATGCAAGTTAAGATGCTCGGTGTTAGTTGAGGTATATTTCGACTTACCGCGCTTTAAAAAAAAAAATTTGAGTTGTGCGATACTTATGGTTGCCTAGTACGATAGCCCAAGTCATTCGTCTCAGTAACTTTTTATTTTATTTACAGTGCTGCCGCAGTAGTTTTTCAAATGACAGTCTCTAAAGTTGGAGTAGCAAATTAAGATACTTAAGTAGAAATAGTGAAACAAAAGGTGCAATATGATTTATTTATTAAAGATCATGTAATTGGTAGAGAGGATAAAGTATTAAAAGGACAGTTTTAAAATTTTAATACTAGGTTTTTTATTTATTTAATAAAAGGTTTTGCCTTTCCATTTGGAATATTTTACTATCACGAGATGTTTTTTAGGTCAAAATATCGTTATAGCACATATTAAACGACTGTTCAGAAAAAATGGCTAACACCGGATCAAGTAGCTGTTTTCACTGAATTAAGTAAAAATGAATCCTTTCTTCCGTATATATAGTAAAATTACTAAGATTTAGGATATAACTAACCCTGCTAATTAGAAGCAGTATTAATAAGGCATTTAAAGTGAAAAAGATTGTTCAGTTCCCGTTCTTAAAAAGTATTCATAAACTGATAGTTAAAATAAAAAACCTTCTAACACGTAGATTTAAAAAAGAGACCAAGGTATCACAAAAACTATTTTTATATTAAAATGGAATTAAGAATTAAATTCGTATACCACTACGATATGACAAATTTTTTATAATTTTGCCCTCAGCGACGTTTAAAAGCTTTTCCGCAATCCACTAAACTATTAACAGTATAAAATATTAATGTAACAAGCTTTTCATGCATTTCCAATATCTACATCCACTACATAAGGTCTCATTGTTGAAAACCGAAGCTACTCAAATCTCAATGCATAGTTAGATCCCATCTCGTCATGAGTAATTTTACACAATTAATTTTTTTTAAGAACGCGCCCCATGGTATGATCATGTAAATTTCTTCTTCTAGCGGAATGGTAAACGAATCGTCAATATCTAACTAATAAAATTTCCATTCCTAAAGCAACGGTTTATTATAATTTTATACTCCTCCGTCTCTAGCACGAAGTTTAAAATTAAAGCGGTCATTGCCCCCGTGATGCTACTTTTAACTGTGTCCTTCTTCGAGAAGGTTAACTAGAACCTAAGTCTTCTCTCCGTATAGTAGCTAAAATCCTAGTTATTCGCTCGAAGTCAGTCATTTTTATTCACTTTCTAGAGCTTCTTTAAATATGCATGCCGAGGTTATATCTAACGCGTATAAATTAAGGGTATAAAATGTCAAAACTCTATAAACGCATAAGTTACACATTTTAGAACCCCGAACACTCTCTTTGAGATCTCCAGCCGGTTTCCTACATTTTGACAGCTAGAAGCTGAAGCGATCTCTTCATTTTACATGTTTCTTCATCAGCATGTTTACTGTTTTAGTGTGTGTATATGTTTATTCGAGTTGCGGTAGGCTAGGGGCCTAGAGTAATTCGGTTTGAGGTTTTCTTTTAGCTGCCTTAAAGACAACGTTCTCGTCAAAAAAGATCATATCTGCTGTAAGTAACTTAAGATATTGAAAAGACCTTATACCTTATAACAGTATCTAAAAACACCAAAGACAATAAAAACCCAACTAGGAGTAAAAAAAGAACACTTTGCAACCAAATATACGTATAACCTCTATATCAGATTTTTTAGTTAAAAGTTTTTGCGCTATAGTACCAGGGCTGAATTCACCGCATATATATATAATACTAGTAAAAGGCCCTATTCAGTATACCATAGACAAGCAGATCCGAATTTCATGGCGGATCGAATAGCCACAGTACCGATACAAGTTCACACAGCTTTCTGTAACTGTTTTTGCAGCTTCGGAAACAAAGCATAGGTCTTTAGTCATCACTCATTGCATAGTTCTCGCTTCAAACGCTTCCGGTCGCACCTAATTGCTGCTTTAAAGTAGTTTACTGTGCAACTTAGCATGTTTTGCCAAATTTATCATCAGTGTCTCCACATGATCTGCTTGATTACCTCTAAGGGGAGATAACTACTACAGGCGATGCCAGCATTCATCGCGTAAAAAATAGAAAGAGTAGGGAGCTCTTTGTGCTTTACTTTTATTATTAATCTTTTTGACAACCAAATCCATCTTTGAATGTCACGAGTTAAGTCAGTCAACACAAAGGCGCAATGCATAGAGTATTTCGCCTA